TCATTGTAGTTTGGTTGCAGAAATAGTCTTTAAGGATAAAATTATCATTTTAAAAAGTTAACAACCATCTTGTTAAAGTTAACGTTTTTGGACAAAAAACGCACAACGCATACAAAACTTGACCATTGATGCACCACCAAATATTTTTTAACAAAAATCATATAATTTTGACAACCACGTGGACCATTTTTACAATTTTATCTACGTTTTTTTTTTTCATTTTACTTTTTATATATTTTAATAATAAAAATTAAACAAACTCAACCCTTCTTCACCATTTTTACGCCTTTCTTTATCATCATCGTCACCAACCTTGCCCTTTTTCATCATTTTTACTTCTCTCTCACATACATACACACACCACCATCATAATGTCGGCATCACCACCCCTACCCATCTCGTAACCTCCAATTATCCTTGATATCTATTTATCAAAGCCTTCTCTATTCCAACCGATGTCCAAACACTAACAAAAGACGATCTAAAAAAACTTAGTCGTCGATAAGGCCATAGAGTACGTTGTCCCCATGATAGTTCTTTGACTTGGCACAGGTTCCACCTTCGCCTTTGTGGTATCTAAAATCTGTGAATTCATCATATCCGACCAACATAAAGACATTCTCTTATTGCAACATCCATAAAATCACAAGAAATTTAAACTTTTAAAAATCAACCCAATTTTATAAATTGTTTACAAATCATAGTTTTCAAAACATTTTTCCAAACATCAGAGTCTCCCAAAATCATAAGTCATAAACAAGAGGATGTGTACGGTCACGCCTTCGCCTTCCCCTGGTCATCCGAAGTACTTGAAACATAACCCAAAACTATAAGTCAACACTTAGTGAGTTCCCCTAAAGTACCACCAAATAAACATAATAACAAACATCATGCATACAGAGCCTTCGGCCTGACTGGAGCACCGCACTGGTTTACACACTATCTGGGACGCTCACAGAACCTTCATCATGACTAGAACACCTTACTGGGCCTTCAGCCTATCTGGACCGTTCTCTGGGCCTTCGGCTTGACTGGTACGCCTCTCAGGCCTGCAGTCTATCCGGGATGCCTTGGGTCTCTTGGCCTTCAGTTTACACTGGTCCGCCTCAACCCAACCATACATACTATGTCGATATATACATAACAGATAAACATACATATAACCAGTCAACAAACAATCAGGCAAATCTACAGATCACTAAACATAACATCATCATGTATACCAAGATATCGATCGAACATATAACTACCTCACGATAACATACTATCACATAACAGGAGTCGGCCTTGGTGCCTTCGACCCATAAGTACAGTAAGGAAAACTCACCTCACGAACTGGACAAAAGTTGATGAGGTCTCGACTCTGAGTCTCAGCTCTAACTGTCACCTATCCAACCAATTGACCAATCACGATCAAATTTCAAAAATACCCAAAATACCCTAAGGTCAAACTTTGTCAAAGTTAAAGTCAAAATGGTCAAATCAACTGAGTCAACCCAGTCGAGTCACTCAGCCGAGTCACCACAGAGTAAGTACATGGGGCGTACTCCAAAGGTGCGTTAGGCATACTCGCATGTTGACCACCATCGGGGTGGTTGACCTCGTACGTAGGGTGTAATCCAGGCACGTGGGGCGTACTCCCATAAGTCCAAAATCTCAATAAGTGCTTAACGGATTAAGCACTCACGTTCATTTTTCAGATCCATAGCTAAAATACCCTCAAGAGTCATAAAGTTTCTAACTTTATGACTTTACATGTCCATTAAGTGCTTAACTCAACTTCTTAATCCATTAAGACCTTCTAAATGATGCATGGAGCAAAACCAACCATTTGGAACCCATTTTTATGACTCAATACCTTCCCAAGGGTTCGAAATGACAGCTTAATGGGTCAAGAACATGCTATGTTCATGAATCATCATTTTGGGACCAAAAAGTGACTTAAAAGAGCAAAAACCTTGATCTACACGATGGAGTGGTAAAGATGCAAGCTTTATGTGACAACCCGAAACTTTCATTTTGTACGATTCGTCAATTTTTATCAATGTTAAATTCGATTTCGTCACCTTTTAACGTTGTTTAAGGGTTCGTTTAGGCGTTCTAAGCTTAAATACAGTCGGAAATGAGATCGGGAATGAGTCAACACCGCGTTCAGAGTCAAAACCGGGCCATACACCCTCCTGAGAGGTGTGTACTACCGCACACATGGGTGTGCGGCCGCACATTCATGCCCCAGCCGCACACTCCCCCAATATATAGAGGGTGACCCCTTCATTCATTCCTTTCTTTTGGATGCACTCTTCTTTCTCTCTCTACTTTCGCTCTCTAAAAATCTCATCCAAGAACACTCCAAAGGCCTCAAAAACGTGAAGAACTCCATCATTTAGCTTGTAATACAGGTAAAACACCCAAATCTAAGCCTGAAACTCTTCATGTTCTTCGTCACTTGAAGGTGTACGGTCGCACACACCCTCTGTACGGCCGCGTACACACCCTGGCTACACACTCTGGCCGCACACATCCTCTGTGCGGATACACACTCATGTGTGCAGCCGCACACACATCCTGACCACACACTCTGGCCGCACACACACTGTACGGCCGCACACCCATTTTTATGGCCATACACCCACTTTAATACTCGTATTTGGCCTTAAACTTGCAAAAATCACTAAGTGTGGGACTTATAACACTTAGTACAATCATTTCCAAGACCTTAGGGTGGTTTCCCGTCATGTTAGTCATGAAATACCCTAATCTAATACGTATATGTGTTACCATATGTTAATAGGGTCCACTTGCATACGAAACATCAGTTGACACTCGCATCCATATCGATTGTACACTCGAATCCTACGTGAAACAGTGAGTTCATACCCCTACACTTTTCGGAGTTTTTCAAGTTTTCACGGGGGGGGGGGGGGGGGGGGGGAATACAAGCGAAACATAAAGGTTTTCATAACTTAAAACCGATGCAATTACAACGGTTTTCTATCAAACATTTAGATACAGTTATCCCTTTTGTAATATGTGGAGCATAAGGGGCGTTTTCTAATCATAATTGCATAGTTTTCAAAATAGTACCTGAACGCAACAAACCATTCAAACTATAATGGGTATAGTTTGGGATTTCATTACCAGTCTTGCAAATTCAAACTTCATGCAAATTCAAACATATAAACTATGTCAGATTTAGTTTATCCATTACTACGAATACAAAACTAGAGTATCTTGCTAAATAATTATTTTATGTATAATTATTTATACTCTACACCGTTATGAACAATTCCGAACTTGAAAACAACCGAACGACACGTAAACTAGTTATTACAGGATTGTGAGACTTATCTTTGTTATGCCCCTCAGGGTACCAATAAATCCTTACCGGTAGTATAACCAGAGTCTCTTGGAGGGAGAGCGTGAAATTTGTGAATAGATCTATTCGGGACCGACAATCCCACACATGAACTGTTAGCTACAGTTAGGCAGGCACGCTTGGGGTGATAAATTTTGTAATCGTACGACGCCTGAAGAAACGTCAAGGAGGTCACTGGTCATATTAGTATGGTTATACGACTCACAATAAGTATAAACTAACCTTTGTTTATGGGAGTTCTTTCTTCTATAGTTTTATTTTAAGTAATAAAACTACTATACATACTAGTGGTAGCAGAGTTTTCGAACAGAACTTACATTACATACTGGTGGTCAGGGTTTTCGAACAAAACTTACATTACATACTGGTGGTAGCCATGGTTTTCAAACAGAACATACTTTTCATAACATAAACCAACAATCATGTTAGAAAATATTAGATTTTCTTGGCAAGCATGCATACATATTTCAGAACTTGATAACAATGGTTTTCGATACAAATGACATTTTATTTATAATGGAAAGAAACCATTTATACAAATTCAGTGACTAGTTTTCAATACACAAAAACATGCTTATGAACTCACCAGCTTTATGCTGATACGTTTTCAAAATCGCTTGTATTCTCAGGGCAATGATAGACAGGTACCTTGCCAGCTTTTGGAGATGACGAAGCATTTTTGGAGTCTCATCTTTATCTGTTATATAAACTATTGTATATAATTTTTGTTCCCAAATAGATGTAAACATTAATATCGTAATGTAATGGTTGTGTTTACTTTGATTGCTATGATACGATTGTTGTGATACTACGCATGACGTCACCCGCCCCCGGACGCTTGCGTCGTTGTTATTTTTACGATTCAGGGGTGTAACACTTTATACCTTCAAGATGTTGAAAACCAAGTAGAAATCCTAGATCCAAAGTGTACCCAACTCCAAGATCCTCTCACCACCTTCTTATTTCTTCAAAACCACTCCAAAACTCACTTAAAGGCTCAAAATTTGTTCTCTCTTGCTCTAGGGTTGCTTGAGGTTCAATATCACAGAAAGAGGCTAGATAAAAATGAAATGTGGGGCCTTAAAGATGTTTAAATATGAGCCAAAACACCAAAACTAGGGTTTGCATGCTTTTCCATGTATGCCCTGCGTACGTGGTGTACGCCCAGCGTACTAAGGCGCGCTTTAGTACGCTTGGCGTACACACGTACACACAGCGTACTCCAAATGTCCCTATTTTACCAAAATGCCACTATGGGCCCTTTTGCATTCTTTCTTACACTTAGGGACCAAAATGCAATATAATTCAATTATAAGGTCAAATGTAGAAGTACCTCATCATCGGGATGTTGCACTTATGGGCTACACGTGTTGCAACGATCAGGCAATTAGAGCAATTATCTCCATTTTCGCTCACCTTTTTGTGTGTGTGTGTGTGGGGTGGGGGGGGAGGGGGGGATTATTATTATTTTTACTGTTATTAAAATATATAAAGAACTAAAAAAGAAAAGAACATTTTAAAAAGGGTAAGATGGTCTTTTCATATGGACCAGGGACCACCGGTTCAACAAATACAAACCATAGGACCATCCATGTCAAAAATACAATAATAGGACCAAAAGTATGAATTTGGCAAACGATAGTGTGACCAAATGTGTAATTTACTCAAAATAAAGATTAAAAACCTACCCTTTACGTCACATGGTAACTATCCGTTTCACAGTATTATCCGCCCTCTTTTTTAGCATAGGGCATTTCGACTATAAATAGAAAGGTCTTCTGACGAACCTCGTGAGCTACAGAAAACATGGGAAGGCTAAGGCTGTTGCTAATAATATTAGTGTCGTTGCTGGTTTCAAAAGTGGCGATAGCTGCTGACATTAGCCGGAATGACTTTCCGAAGGGGTTTGTGTTTGGAACGGCGACATCCGCTTATCAGGTAGAGGGCATGGCCCATAAAGGTGGACGAGGGCCTAGCATTTGGGATGAATTCATCAAGACTCCTGGTTTCTTCCTATATTCATTCATATATTCTCTCTTTCAATAGCTGAATATTAGCCTTTTAATTAACAGTATTTTCCTTTCTATAATTATTTATTTATATAGGACTTGAACCAAACAATGCAACAGGAGAAGTTACAGTCGATCAGTATCATCGGTATAAGGTGTGGTTTCTCTTTTTCTGTGTTATTATTATTTTTTTTTTACAATTTAACAGAACAATATTCATTACTATACTTTAAACCTGTGTATTATTTATATATTTCGGTCAATACGATGATGATTCATGTATTTTAATAAAATAAAATAGAAACAGTTTAAAGTAAAATGTCACGATCTAAGGAATAAAAATGGTCCAAATTTATTGAATTTGATCAGAGACCCGTGAGTCTGAGGCGTGAACATGTACATGTGAATTGCGATAGTGGCTTTGGGCAGTGGTCCCTGATTGATGCCTCTTTTTTTTTCTTTTTTTTTCTTTTTTTTTTTTTTGGCTAATACATCAAAATCGTGTTTCAATGTTAAAATGCATTCCAACCATTCATACAATTTTAGTGTTATGATCAGTAACATACTAAAATGATGCTATATGTATTTTTTGTTTTACATCAACTTTTTTTATAGATGAAATATTAAATATCTAGTTCAAAATATATCATTATACGAATTTTACTGAAAGTTTTAAAATGATTCGCAGTTTATTTCAACGAGTTTTTATAAACTGGATTATTTTATAAGTCACTGCCTTTTAGGAAGGTATTATTCCAACTATTTATAAATTAACCAACAAATTCATTAAAATGTATTAAAAACGTAACAAACTATATTTTTTTCACCTACTATACCAGGAATATAAGTCATATTTTATATTTATATATTTTGACCAAGATCTAAAATTAGTTTTTTACAACTTTCAAGACTGCTTTTGAAAGAAAAAAAAAATTAAAAATACATTTTTTATGAAAAAAAATTTACAATTTTCTATGAATTTTTTTACAACATTTTTGAAATTTGTTTGAGATTTTTTACAAGCTTTTTAGAGCCTTTTTACGATTTTTATAAGTTTTTTTACACTTTTTATAACTTTTTTTTTTACAATTTCCTTAAACTTTTTTAAAGCCTATTAAACTTGTTTTTATAACTTTTTTAAAATACATTTGCACACAACTCAAATACGTACTTCAAAAAAAATTAAGAGAGTATTTCTAAGAGTAGTAAAACATTATAAATATTTCCGTGTATACTTTGTTTACAGTTATTTTACACTTTTTAAAGAGGTGTGTAAAAATGTGTAAACAAAAATATTTATATTGTTTTAATATTTTTAGAAATACTTTCGTTTAAAAAACATTATAATAAAGGTATGTAAAAAAATTTGTATGAAAGAGTAAAAGAAATTTATGAAAAATTATAAAACAAGTATAAACCACTGTAAAAAAATCATAAAAAAGTTGTATAAATAGTCAAAAGGATTTTAAACAGTGTTAAAAAAGTTTCAGAAGGGTTGTGAAAAAAAAGTAAAAAAAATATTTAAAAAAGTTTAGAACAATTTGTTAAATAATAATAATAATAATAATAATAATAATAATAATTTTCTATGCTAATGTTGATTTCTGCATAATAATAATAAAATTATACATAACAATTTTTGTTTTAAAATTTTGTATTGTATAATTTTATAAAATATAAATTGTTGTGTATGAAGAAAACTGTTATGTATGAATCACTTGTTTTCTTTAAAAATCAAAATAGTTATATTTTGAAAAACAGTAATATTTGTAGATAAATCTAATTTTGTAAAAGAAATTTTTGACAATAACGAAATAATTAAAATTAAACTTTAGTTACTAAACTTCATAAGTTGTTTGAACGATCTAACTAAAATAAATATAAAACTTGGTTACTATTTAATTAGTAAAAATATGATAAATTGATTTTTTAGAACGGTTTGTATTTTTAAATCTACGCATTTGTCCATCATCATACTTCTAACATTCAACAATATAATAGTTGAGGGACACTTTCCAATAAATATGATACATTGTGAATTTATGATACTATTAAATTTTGGTAAACACACAAAAAAAAAAAAAAAAAAAAAAAAAAAAAAAAAAAAAAGAGTTAGTTATTGAATGTTAAATCCTTTTAAGTAAAAGTTGAATTACTTAAACACAATAACAAGTTAATTTAATTAAGGGCAAATTGTATAAAAGAGTGTAAGTTAACATAACATTTCAAATTTTACTATGTGTTTATTTATTTATTTAGTTTAATTAAGGAATTAAGTGTATAATTTTGTTGTAAATTTAACCTATCGATAGGTTTGTTTCATATTTTTCATGTTACTCACTTGCTGAATAAGCAAAAAGTTAATGTAGCTTCTATATATATGATCCTAGTTGGCAAATATTTATGTTAAATTTAACATTTACGTAAATATGTACTCTTTTTCCCTAACATCTTCTTTTCTTCTCTTAGAGAATCACGATTTTGTGTTGTGGTCTCCCAAGGTCGCTCAAGTGGTTCATCATTCCAAAATAACCTTGCTGTTTGTCTACAATAACTTATCTTAAAGAAAACGTTCATTTTTTTGCTTACACCACTTTCGGATGAACCATTTGAACGACTTTAAAAAACAATTGCATAAAATTGTGATGTTCTGACAGAAGAAAATAATAAAAATTAGGTAAAATGAATATATAAACTCTTTGTCAACTAGATCATATGTAAAAAGTGAAAACCAAATTAGCTTTTTGCCTAGTCAACAAAATGAAAAACAAGAAACAACTGAAGCAAAGAAATCAATTGGTTAAATTTGCAATAAATTAGTAAACTTAGTGATTTAATTAAGAAAAAAAATAAAAACAATGTCAAAATCAAAATTTTATATAAACTTAATATCTTTTAAATATCTTTTATTGCAATTTTTCTTTAATTAATACTATATAGCTATACTGACCAGTTAAAATCTTCTAACTTCATTTGATGTAACTGATTTAATCATTAAGTTGTTTCATGATAATAAAATTTAAAAATCTGTGGATATTATTTTCCAAAGGATTACTTGTTAAGTGGAATAGTAAGTCTTGAAAAGAAACTTGATTGTTAAAGTTATGTAATGTCATGAGTTAAAGACTTGTAAAAAAGTATTAATACAATTTGATCCAAGTTATGATAATTTCTTTGGTTTCTTTCTCCTATAATCTTCAATACGTTTACGGCCTTTTGCGGATTATAAAGCGTTCAATTTGAAAATGCATATGGATAAAAATATATAATTTTTTTTTATGCATGGGTGCAGGAAGATATTGATTTGATGGCAAACCTCAACTTCGATGCATATCGCTTCTCAATCTCATGGTCTCGAATATTTCCAAGTAATTAATTTTCATCTAAACCATGTACACCCATCTCCATAATCCACAAAATATATCTGTTTTCTACGTAATTATTGTAATTGTCCATGTCATGTGTAGACGGGACTGGAAAAGTCAACCCTGAAGGAGTTGCTTACTATAACCGTTTAATTGACTACATGCTTCTAAAAGGTAATATATATATATATATATATATATATATATATATATATATATATATATATATATATATATATATATATATATATATATATATATATATATATATATTCCAAATGATTACAATACAATGAGGTAATTAATTTATTAATGATTATAATATTAATCTTGTTGCAGGTATTACCCCTTATGCCAATCTAAATCACTATGACATTCCTCTGGCCCTTGAAAAAGCTTACCTTGGATGGTTGGGACATCAAGTTGTGTACGTACCCTTCAAAAAATTGAAACAAAACACTTGTATTGGATGAATAAATTGATTAATTGGAAATAATAATGAAATAAATGAATGAATCAGGAAAGATTATGCTGATTATGCGGAGTTTTGCTTCAAGAGTTTTGGAGACCGAGTGAAGAACTGGATGACATTTAACGAGCCGCGAGTGGTGGCTGCGCTTGGTTATGACAACGGGTTTTTTGCTCCGGGAAGGTGCTCCAAGGCATACGGGAATTGCACGGCTGGGAATTCCTCAACTGAACCCTACATTGTCGCCCACAATATTATCTTATCACATGCAGCTGCTGTTCGTAGATATCGTCGGAAGTATCAAGTAACTAATTAAATATTACATGCATGCCCTCTTTCTTTTTTATTTTTTTAACTCGATCAATCGTATTAATATATATATCCATACATGCATGCAGGCAACACAAAAGGGAAGGATCGGGATTTTGTTGGACTTCGTTTGGTATGAACCACTCACAAGATCAAAAGCCGACAATATGGCTGCTCAGAGAGCACGAGACTTTCATGTCGGCTGGTAAGATCCCACTGTTTTAGCTGAAAAGGTTCAGATCTTGCAATAGCGATCCCCTTCCGGATCATATAGATCAAAGTTAAATAGTGATCGATATATATGTTCTGTATGTAAACGTACAGGTTCTTGCATCCACTTGTGTATGGTGAATACCCAAAGACGATGCAAAACATTGTGAAGGATCGTCTACCTAAATTCACCAAACAAGAGGTGCTCATGGTGAATGGATCTTTCGATTATGTTGGGATAAACCAATATACTACTTATTACATGTATGATCCACATCAAAAGCCACCAAAAGACCTCGGCTACCAGATGGACTGGAATGTAGGCTTTGCTTGTAAGAACTCAACTATATACTTATTTAACTAACACACCTAAATTAAAACTACTCACCGGTTTTTGTTTTTTTTTTTTTACAGATGCACGCAAAGGCGTACCAATTGGTCCACGGGTACATACCTAATTACTATTCTGAATGGCATATACAGATAATTAATCAAATAGATCATTGATATATTATACATTAATTTAATGTATACTAATTAACAGGCGTATTCATACTGGCTCTACAACGTACCCTGGGGTCTACACAAAGCCATCACTTACGTCAAAGAACGTTATGGAAACCCGACCGTGTTTTTGGCTGAAAATGGTATATGCATGTTAGCTAGAAATCTGTATATAATATAATCATATAATATGAGTCATGCATTGATGCTACAAATTAACATGTTATAGGCATGGACGATCCTGGTAATATCAGCCTTGGAAAGGGTGTACGTGATACCACAAGGATCAATTACTACAAGGGTTATTTGGCTGCCTTGAAACAGACTGTTGATGAAGGCGCAAACGTGATAGGCTACTTTGCATGGTCACTGCTTGACAACTTTGAATGGAGATTAGGCTACACTTCAAGGTTTGGCATTGTTTATGTTGATTTCAAAACTCTCAAGAGATACCCAAAGATGTCTGCCCATTGGTTCCAGAAAATACTACACCGCACTACTAAGCATCATGCCCCTGGTTCTAATGGAGTTTAGCTGTCAACTCAACTCATGATGATCAGCAAGTATCAAATAAATTAGCATCAATAAGTTGTAATATGACAAATGCTAAGGATTTCGGATTTCAGCTCAAGTCATTCAATCAATGTTATGCGGCATCATAATGAGACAAGCGAGTCGCTAACCTTGTCTCTTGATCATATATAGAATTTGACATCCTTTACTTTTCCCCAAATTTCGATCAGGTTCTTATATGCTTTTCACTCACAAGAGATCCTTATTATGTCTAATAATATAATAATAACAAAATAATATAATAATATTTTTGGAAACCATCATAGTTATGTCTAATAATATAATAATAACAAAATAATACTAATATAATTAGTTTTTAAAAAACATACAATATATATATGGGCGAAATTGATACTTACATGCATTTAAGGCTGACGAAATTACATTTGAGGGAACACGAAAGTTGAATATCAAACAAAATAGACCAATATAGAAAAATCCATAAATACTGGACAATTTTCGTTTAGTTTTTTAAAATAATTTCAGATTCTAAACAGGGAGCCACCATTACCAACGCCGCTTGGTCAAACATACAGGTGCATAAATGGAGGAAATTTTGTCGAGACAGGCATGACTCGTCTAATTTACATAATACTACCGTTCCTATGTTTTGTTTATTGAGCTTGTGTTCGATTTATGCTCATTTGGTTGTATACTATTATTTATCGACTCGAGTTTAACAAAACTGATTTAGATCTGAGTTCCATCCAAATTAGTTTTTGGATTAAGATGGTGGTGCTTGAAGTCCTAATTTCAAATGCGATCAAATTAATAATAACAACAAACAAACAAGAATTGCATTTTATACCCGACAAAAGAAGTTCAAGATCGTAGCTTTCTTTTCACTTGTTACCCTCTTTTTCTCTCCGATTCCAATTATGTTGACGGTTTTAGAATCCACGCTTTTCTGTGAACCGGGAGTAATACATAATATTTCCAAATCATCAACATCTGTCACCCCCGACTCTTGTTCAGAAACAAAATCGACTCCTGTACTTCGTAAGACTTCAACTTGAGTTACCTCTGAAGATTGCTCCTTGTTGACCACAACTGTTTTTTTCCGTCTCTTGAATGGATTGTTGTCAGGAATCGTTGATGATCGTTTGGCAGGAATTGCATCATCTCCGCTCAGAATATTCTTCTTTAATGGAGAAATCAAAATTTTGAGGCTCGAATCACTTAAGTATCTCCGTTCTTCTACGTTGACCTTAGGCTTCGTTTCCTGTTCCATCACTGAAATTCTTTTAATTTTAGTTTTCTGAGACGACACAATGGTAAAGCAGTTTGTGTTTGTTTGACTTATTTCCTGTTTGAAACTCAGATTATGAGGTAAGGATTCAGATGGTTTAGTTAGTTGAGCATTAAAGGGCTTCATTGTAGAAGGATCCAATCGACCTTGAGCAATTGCAGTAGCTTGAAAGGAAGACATTTCACTGACTATAGTCAAGGAGGACAAATTTGGTAAAACCCAAAATGGCTGAAATTGGTGATATAAATAAAGGATACGGGCCTAGAAAATCCAGCTCATTACACAACTCGTTTACAAGCGATTCTGGAATAGGTGTCAAGTGTTTTAGCCTTTTTGAATCTGCATCATAGCTGCATGCAGAGGAAGTAAGAAACAACCATATTATGATATTGAATTATTGACAAGTAAAACAACGTGAAAATGGCAACTGATAAAAATGTTACAGACATTCTTGCATGATGAAAAACAGCACATGCTTCTTTGAAAGATTTAAAGTACTCTTGAGGCATTTGATTTCCTTTCTCATACTTTAACATGGACAAAACCTGCACAATAGTTATGCTCATAAAGATATCTTTCAGAAATACATACACGTAACTGAGTAGGTCTATAAATTTGTATATAATATGCTTACACGTGATAAGTTGCGATACTTGGAAACCAAAGCATGAGCTTTTGAAATTCCTATTCCTGGCACTGATGGAAGGAAATCACATCCAGCTACAACACACATACCTACACAAGTACATATTCCCTATAATCATTAGTTTCAGACTTTCAGCGGAAGGAAAAAAGAGTATTTGTTTGACATTTTGTATTTTTACCTGTGAACAACTCTTTATCAAAATCTAGGAAAGAAGGTATACGTCTCACAGAGCCTAAAACTTTGTCTATGGCTATCTCTTCCCCATTGCCATATCGATCCATCTTGAAAACAACCTGATAACATTAACATCAAGTTGAAATGTTAAAAATTAAGAGACAAGTAACTGGTCGATTTTTGTAAACAAGTTCTTACAGAGGAGCAACCATAGGCTAGCAGATCGCTATCCTCTGATATAACTGCAGCAATGCCACCTTTTTCTGCATCAAGACTGGATAAATATGCCAACTGTGCATCTGCCTCGTATGGGGCTACTACAAACTCAATATTCTCTGAATTCAGAATCTGGAAATTTGGAAAATTTTAGCGGCAGATTAATAAATAATAATACAAGATTTTTATATAGATAGAATGACATATAAATATCGTACCTCAATAAGTTGGTGTGCCATGGATGGCGTAATACTTATTGCTCTCTGCATTCAAGAAAGATGGTTCTCGTGGCATTATTTGATATGAAATTATGAATACTTATCAGTGTAAGTAGAGGTCAATTTTTTAGTACCTGGAACATCTCTGTTGCAGCATTAATGTTACCCTCTTTGAGCTTTGCCATTGCTAAATCACGGTTGCCTTTCCTTTTACTAAGAGAAATCAAATATGGATGAAATGATGCTACTGTATCTTTAAAAATTGTGTTAAATCTAATGCAAAGGTTTAAAAATAACTTACTTGTGTCTATCTTGCTCAGTGAGGGACTTGCAGGGGATGTTACAACCATCAAAAACTAGCACAGGACTAATGTTATGATGACGAAGCAAATTGATGCGATGCATACAGTAGTTTAGGTACTGTGACTTTTTGTCTCCTTCCATATTCAGACAAAGCTCCATACTACATGAATATGCTGTTTGTTTTTCAACAAAAACATAGCTCTGTTAAACTTCATTCGTTGCACAATTGCAGTATACAAGTATAATAATGGATTCGACTGATTCTATGTACAATATGATAGATTACTGCTGCCAATTTAAGAAATGACTAAACCACCATGAAATAGATAAATTACAACGAGAAGTATGTCATTTTAGCTTGAAAAAAAACACACGCATACCTCCTTTGTGAAGCCACGAATAGGCATCGATACCCACCTGTACAAATCGAAAATAAAAATAATTACTCCGATTCAATTGTTAGCTGGTGGAAATAATGAAACATGATATCGATTTCACGTACGCGTTTGCCAGCATATTTCTTGATGTGAACGGGCTCAACGTAGGGTTTCATGAATCTTAGAAGATCTTTGATACCCATTTCTTTGTTGATTTTGATGAACGATGCCGCCTTCCGATTGGATGGAATCACGCGAAGAACAACGATACGTCGTATGTAGTGAGAGAATCATGCTCTGGTCTTTTTGTACGGCGATTGAAGCTTTTACCGCGGAAAAGTCTTTTTGAAATTTTGACTGGAAGACTCCCGCGAACTAAAATCAAGAGCAAGTTACATAATTGGTCCTCTGTTATAGTAATTTTTTGAATCAAGTCAAGTGTTTTCGATTTTAAAACTCATTGTCCCTTAAAAACTTATTTGTCATGTTTCTAATCCCTATGTCGTTTAACTAAACAAAAAGATCGTAAAGTCTATAAAAATGACAAATTTACTCTCATCATTCCATATTTCGTCCCCCTTTTCCTCTTACCAAGATAATCACATCCATTGTCATGGACCAAGGTTCCAGAAGTTTCCAAGCCCTTTAGAGAACGTTGGAACGATCGATAAAGCTCGAAAGACTCTGTAGATATCGACAACGCACTATAAGACCATGAAAGACACTAGAGTATTATGAAGCTCTTGGAGAAAAATGGAATGATTGCAATAGAGTACGTAAGAATAATACGAGAGATTTAGAACGTCCAAGAATTATCTAGGACATTGTAGAGTATTAAGTAACACTATGGAAGCCTTGTATATTAGTTTAGATCTTGGTAGATAGATCTAAAATAGTTGAGAGACTAGGGGATCTTAAACTTCCAATGAGGAGGTGAAGGACCCTATAAAAAAAAAAAGGAAGGCTTATTTGCCCATATCAAAAAATTTAGCCTTGGTTTCTTACTTGTTGGTTCACTAGTGTAACGTCCTAAATTTTCATTCAAAATTTTCATTTTTAAAACAAACGATAATCAACAAGAACCATTTTCCCAAAGTATAATAAAACAACCATTTGTTCCAAAACATTACCACGTCATTTCAAAATCAGAGTAATAAAAAAAAATAGTAATATCTTATCAACGAAAGTCTCTAAAAACAATTCATGGATGAGATACATTCAGGTCATGTCATTCCCAACAACCTGAAACCATTTACATTTAACGAATAAGTACAAAGTTTAGTGAGTTTCTCAATATACCAGATACACATGTGAATGCTATGTGTGATATCCCCAATTTTTGTGGCCAAATAAAACTTTTTCATCATTTCTTATTTAAAACAAATTATCATTTTTAATAATATATTAGCATGGAATTTGTCCAAAAACATTTTCATCGTAATATGAAATCAAAAACATTTTCAAATAAACGTTTTTCATTAATATTAAAAACTTTTGATATCAACACCGATACATAAACATAAGCATAAACTAGTTATTACAGACCTTACAACTGTTTATTATACTAATGGCTTCAAACTCCTTAAATGTATCAACAAATTTAAAATAATTATCTGTGACAACCCGAAATTTCTATTATGTACAACCCTTCACTTCATTAGAAATCAGAACAGTTTCTGCTAATTTTCAAGCTTTTTGGAATAGGTTTGGGCATTTTAGGATTAGTACTTTCGGAGAAATCAGGAGAGAGGATGCCCTAGGGTTTATTGTGCATCAAAAACTCCAAGAGTTTGGAGTTTACGACCCAAATGGTATTTGGACCGTAAACCCTAGTGACTATATATAGGGCTGTAAACGAACCAAACGAACACGAACAAGGTCTTGTTCATGTTCGTTCGTTTAAGTTAGCCGAACAATAAACGAACACGAACGGATAAACGAACGAGATTTTCTTGTTCATGTTCGTTCGTTTAACAAATTACTTTGTTCATGTTCGTTCATTTATGTTTGTGAACATGCTAAACGAACATAAACGAACAAAGATAAATAAAAACACAATTGAACATATATGAACATAAACGAAGATATAATATAGCAATATAATAAAAAATAATTGAATATAGATGAATATAAAGAAACTTAAACGAACGTAAACAAATATCATAAACGAACATTCACGAACATAAATGAACGAACGAGACCATTGTTTATGTTCGTTCATTTAACTAAACGAACGATAATTTTTGTTCATGTTCGTTCATTTATTAAATAAACGAACATAAACGAACTTCCTGCCGAACAGTTCACGAACGGTTCGCCGAACATTCAGTTCGTTTACAACCCTAACTATATATATAACACTTAGCCATTTTTTCACACCTTTTCACTTTTTAAGATCCAAACTCAATTATCTCTCAAGTAGCTTCGACTTTTCTTCTTGATCTTCAATATTGTAAGTGTTTCTAACCCTTTTAAGTTGAGATATTACTTAATCTAGTGTTTTAACACACTTCCATCCATGAAATCTTTCCAAAAGGTTAGATCTTCAAGTTTCACCAAGAACACACACTAGTGTTCTTGGCCTTTTGGTACCATTTCAAGCCTTTATAAGTACTTCTATCCTAAAGTATCTCAAGGTTTGTTACACTTCTATACATCAAGAAAACACCCAAGAAAGTCAAGATCAAAGGTGTTTACGGTCAAAGTTGTTCTTGGACCGTAAACCCTAAAAAGTGTGCCAAAGAGACCCTAGTCCCTTCCCAAGCTTTGGAAACTAGCCTAGACCCCTTCCATGATGTGTTTATGACTAGAAAACATAAAGTGGAATTGCTTATAAGGACTACATATAGGAATGATATGATGCCACAATCACTTCCATAAACTTATACTTCAAGTGGAATTGCTTATAAGGACTTATAAAGCTTCAAAACACAAAGTGGTCAAAGAAGCATGAGTTTACGGCCGTAAACTCATGGGTTTACGACCGTAAACTCAATGAGTTATGGTCATAAAACCGTAAAATCATATAAGGGGGTTTCCTTGAACCCTAAACTCAATAGCAATGTCCTACAACACTTAGATGCAATCCTTGGGACTTATAACACTTATATAAGGTGTTTAGCATGTCATGGGATGTCTTAACTTTGTTGTTTAGTTGTTTAAAGACTAATTGGATACATATATGTGATAATATATGTCAACTAGGATCCTTGTGTGTGTTCAAGACTTCACTTGACACCTAGCAATCATGTTTCATCAGTTCATCCAAACCACTCACTACAGGTGATTTCATACCCCTAAATCAATCTTTTAAATGTTTTTAAATGATTTTATTGGGGGATACAAGTTGAATCATGCTAGTTATTATATCAATCACATGTGATTAATCAGTAGCATACAAATGGATTTACTACTCTTTTAGCTATTTTACCAAACAGATTACTTCAAATGGCTTTCCAAAACATTTTTACTTGTTTAAAACTCTTTATTAAACTGTCTTACATACTGAATGTTTCTTTTCAAACTCTATTACAATTGTGTTTCAAACAAAGGTTTCCTTATACTTTAAATTGTTCTTATCAAACAAACTGCTTTCAAATCATTTTGCAAACTAACATCAAGTCATCCTTTCTTAGTTACTAAACTTTTCAATGGTTTTACAAAACTTATTTTATACTTTTATATTGTCAAATGCATGCCTATGTATGTATAGTTATATAAGTAATGTTTAAAGGACTTAGGAAGGCTAACTCGCTTTATCTCCTTTTCCTCGTTGGGATGTGGCTTTAGGGCATCGGGTATCCGTTCGAAGGTCGTCTAAATATTAGTTATATATTATGTATACATATATAGACATAAAATTTATATCAGTCAATTCAATACCCTTGGGTAGCAAGGGTATACGTTCACGTTCATAAGTATAATTCATATTACTAGTAAACTACAATAGGCGTAGTTTAGGAAGTTACTAATACTATTACTAGAACAATAAATCATACAATGAGACAGTTCATACATGAGTCACTACTTGCTAGATAGAGAGAGAACACACAATATAGCTAGTACACATAGTACATTACTATACATACTAGATAGAGAGAGAACACACAATACATTACTATACATGCTAGATAGAGAGAGAACACACAATACAGCTAGTACACACAGTTCATTACAATACAGGCTAGACAGAGAAAGAACACACAATACAGCTAGCACATACATTACATATACATTAATACAGTTATGCGAGCCACTAAACAGGGCATGGAACTACCTGCCATGACCGTTTTTGTATCCAGAATCTCCTTAATTGGGTCAGGCTTGAGAGTCTGGTGACCACATAGGGTTTTCAACCCACAATAATAATTAAAATATTATAAATATATTTCACAACAAACAATTAACCTGATCACTCATTCTCTTTATTCTCACTCCCTAATCCTAAAATGATGATCTTAAGGGACATATCATAAAGTATCACCGTAAGCAACAAGTAGATAATACTGCTTTGAGGATTCCTTAGCAATATAAGTCAATAAGGCAACCATGGAGGATAAAGTACAACAAATGAACTCACAATTCATTAACACCAACCGGTAATGAGCTTGTCAGTGTTCCACACGACTATCTAGAATAGTCAGTGGTTCTCAACTATATTTTACTAGATGACTAGTCACAACTGTACAATAATAATATAATGGTCATCACCTCACAGCATTATTTTAACTTTCACAACTCTTCTCTACCCAATAAGATTGAAGTATGATATTTAAAATAGATCAATACTCTATCACTATATAACTCAAGTACACAAAAATCCAGTCAAGTTACTTTAGCTAGCATAGATATCATAATATACATACGTAATAATTAAAGCATTTAAACACTACATATTTATGTGTAAGATGAAAGTAATATGTACTCACTTGTTATAAGTGGATGATTAATGGGAAAGTTAATCATTCGCCTAGTACCTTAGTTTCCCCTTTTAAACGACAGGTTTTCTAGCTAAAAATTTGAAACTGCGCGGGCAAAACTTTGATACTGAAAGCTTTATTTCGTCGGGCTCTCTGATGCTTCGTAGATTTGCTACTAAGTGTAACATCCATAAAATTCAAGCCAAATGAAAACTTTTCAAAAACATTTAAAACCAATAGTTATTACAAATTTGTTCCCAAAATAGTGTATATCAGAGTTTTCCCAAAAACCATAACAAAATATGAGGAGTTGTATGATCACGCCTTTGCCTTGTCGCGATCCCCTGATGTACCTGAAATAATAAAATGAAACTGTAAGCCCGAAAGC